TGTGTGTGTGTGTGTGTGTGTGTGTGTGTGTGTGTGTGTGTGTGACGTCAATATTTGAGTCAGACCGTGTGGTTTACAAAAGTCACTTCACAGCCCGTCTGCTCCGAGGCACAGTTCTCCTCCGCCGCCGCAGCCAGCAAGTATTCCTGGCAGCAGTGTCTGCAGCGAGCTGAAGGCTTGTTCTCACTTCCCTCACACATCGCACTGCAACTTCCCCTCAGCGAACATACCGGCCTCAGGCGGGGGCAACCAGCGCCACACAACACCCTAACAATAGAAACGCTTTCAAGGCATTCTTGGACGACACTCAGCTGTTTGTGCTGGATAGTAATCCACATTTAACACATAGAAGACACTCAGCAGAGCATTCCGACTCACGTCAGACGGGCAGATGTGCTTTAATGGCTCACAGCTGTGAAGAGTGAAAGGAAGACAAGATAGGTTTGGTTCTTGCTGTGTGTCATGACCGTGACTCGTTAACACGGCACAGATGTGATAAATGCCTCTTAAAAGAACAAAAGAAAAGAAAGCATATTTTCACTATTCCCCTGATGACAATGACAGTTAATAACTGAAGTGCTCCCATGACATAATCATGTCATTTTCTCCAGGTTTTTATTATATTATTGTTTTTGAAGGGAAAATAAAGTGTTTTGGCCAGAGTTGAGAATAAAAACTAAATGTGTGGAACAAGCTGGGACATGCCCAGATGTTCTATGTCTGAAACACACTTATTCAAATAAATCAAAGTGCATTGGTGCATTGGACATAAGGTTTTAAAATAAGAGATTTACTGATGGATAGAAGTCAAAAACTGAGAATTAACCTAATGGAGGGTTTGATTATTTCTTTAACTTAAAATGTCTCTGAAATAGTGAAATCATTTGTTTATGTTTAAATATTTTACTCCACAGCCTCCAGTTTGTGAAACCAACTAAACCAGAGCAGACTGTCAGAGTAGAGTTTTAGTGTCACGTGATGCTGTTTCAGTGACGCGACCACCACGGCAGAGGATAATGTAACACGCGATGTATTGTAATTTAGGGGGTCGTTTTGGCATGCAAAAATGTGCAATTTAAAATAAATGTGCAGAGTATTAAAAATGCAAACACAGATGAGCATGACCTTTGCTGCTGTGGTCTGCGCTTACGTTACAGAGCAGGTGCTCCAGGTTGTGGTCGGAGGCACACTTCCTCTGGTCCTCTGAGAGCTCCTCCACGTGGCTGTCCAGGCTGAAGTGCAGTCGTGCCAGCTTCTCCTGCATCTCACGCACATGCTCCAGCTGCTCAAAGGAGCACACCTTTCCTAGAAAACCAGTAACCGTGTAACTTTTCTTTTTTGCAGAAGGATTACAGCAAAGTCTTGAGTATTTCCATGGCAACAGAAGTGTAAAAATAGCCCCACAACTATCTGATTTCAGTTCACTTTTTCAACTGGCTTTATTTTCCGGCCGTAACAGAATATTCCCTCGGTGGCCTCTCTAATCGAGGTCGTCTTACCGAAAGCCTGCAGTTTGCCCGAGTGGAAGTCGTTGAGGAGGTTGAGGAGGCCTCCCTCCATCTCTCTCACGTCTGAGACGTCTGTGAGGAACGAGTGCTGCAGGGGGGAAGACTGCACTACTCTACTGGGCCCTGCAGGCTGGGGGGCCCGGGGCTTCTCCTTGTGGGGCCTGAAGACAAACAAACAAACAGAAACATCACGCGCATACCTAATCTGTTCTTGTAAATCACTATCCTGCCTTCAATCGACTCGTCGCATGCAAACAGTGCTTTCACAATATCACTGTGTAACAGACATTACCGAGTCAGTCTGTTGCTGTTCTGACTCTGTTGCAATGGGCTTAACGTTACAGCTCAATGCACCACAGCTATTTGATTTCAATTTGATTCAGTTTGTTTAGTATTTAGCATCTTAGCTAAATGCTAAACATTTGTTTTGCAATCGCTATTATCCAATAAATGCCAGTTGTTCAGCAAAAGATATAGTCACGCTTTCAAAACAAATTCTTTCCGACGTGATATTAAATATTACTAAAGTGGACGTTCCCCTGTATTTTTAAACGTCAATGCAAAGCGAGTGTAGTGTATCTATTTCCAAGGCACTTTAAAGATAACGCACACTTTCTACTACACTCAGATGTAGCATTAACTACTTCAGTCAGTTATCTGTTTATGGATGAGATGATGGGACATTAAAAGGCAAAGAACATGTGCAGCAGCTGTTCATAACTACTATTGGCTCTCTACGACACAAACCTGGTGGTCTTCGGTGGCGCTACGACGGTGAACACCTCTTTGGGCTGTCCTGCAGCTCCTATGGACCGCTTAAACTTGCCTCTGTTCTTGGGGGAGGGGGGCTGCGGCAGGCCGAGAGAGAAGGTGGCACTTTTGCTGGCAGGCAGGACGGAGACTTTGCGGGGGTTGACGGGGGGAGGAGGGGGCTGGGGGAGGGTCACCTTTGGGCTCCGCTTCTTGCGTTTGTCTTCCATTATCATTTATCTTTGAAGTGAAGCACTCTGGGGGGAGAACTGCCTGGCTGGCGTACAGGACGTCCTGAAGCAAACCAAAAGGTAGGACGTTGAAAACCTGCAGTCTTCCCCCTCCCTGAGAAAAGGGCTCCGTGGAGACTGAGCCAAAATCGGTGCTGCAGCTGAGGATTCTCCACTCTGCAAAAAAAAAAAAAAAAAAAAAGCATTTAGTTTACCAGCATCCCTAGGTCATCACAACAATACACATGTCACAGACTAATCTAAATCATCAGTGTTAGCGGGCTGCTACAGTGAGGAAGATTATGTGATTGCATTTAGAGGACATTTTCAAATGGAAGCAATTTTCTGACTTTTTTTTTTTTTTTTAAAAGAGTGTGAAACAGTGGCCTAGAAAGATATTTTTAGAGCAGCCTCGAAGTGGAAATAGCTCAGAGAAGATGTGTGAACTGAAGGACACCTATTTCCAATTATTATTCCAGACAAACAAACCGATTATATGCTACAAAAACCAAACGAGCTACACTGCAGAGGCTTTGTTTTTATCTTCACTTCAGATAAATGCACAGATAGGTAACATGAATCCTTAAAGGAGCATACAGCTTTCAGACTAATGGCTGAAGGAGAAAATCAATATACTGCATTATTATTGAGATCTCCCACTAGGATAGTGGAGTTTAAAGGTCATACCCTCATCTAGCTACACCCAGTTTGTGACCAGAACAAAAACAAACACATTTTACAAGCTGAAGTGGCCCAACTAAATGCAATAGCCCTGCAATAAATGTATATATTTTACTATAAATTAAAAGGTTGTATTGCAAGACTGTTGGATTACAATAGTCTCTCGTCTGAGGTTCACTTATATGTGTAGTATTGTATATTTGGCTCATTGATATCAGTACCTACTGCAGTAGAGTGGTTGTTTATTGTTATCAACAGCCACAGTGAGTGCATTAATGTCACTGTGGTGTCGGCACTGGGCCTAAATATCGCTTCATGCTATTACAATGTGATGAAATAACTGTTATAATAGCAGTTATCTGCCTCCGTTCAGAGTAACGTTAGAATCCAAAGATGGCCACTACAGTAAAACACAATGGCAACTTTACACGCTTATCGACATTCTTATTTACTTGGATTGTATTAACCCTGTAGAAAAACTGCTTTCACAACAACATGTAGACCGCGGGTTGCTACACTATATTGTTGAATTCAGCGAGAGAAGACGTGTAAACAGATATTTATCATCTACGAGTGACACAAACACGACTTACCGAATCAATTACGCATCAGAAAGCAAACCGGCTGAGCGAAGCGTCAAATTTCTCCTCCCGCCATTTAAAAAACGTCTCAGTAGACCTCACGTGAACTAATCTTTATAAACCACAGTTTAGCTGCTGAATTCTGCCCGCTGTAGCACAGGTGTACATATATATTATAATCACTGGTCCAATGTAAAGCGCGACATCGATGCGCTCGTCTCGTGCGCAACTGTTGTGTTGTATCCGTCTTAAAGGGACAGTCCTCTCCTCTGTGTGTGTGTGTGTGTGTGTGTG